TACAGACTTTGGGAAGACTCGCCTACCGTTGGCCCAAGCAACGCCGGGAGAGTCAATTCCATTGTCCTCTTGTCCAAGGTCTGGTATATTTTGTAATAGTTGAGGTGAAGGGCAGGGTTGCTCAGTGACCAGCGTTGTCACTGACTCGAGATGAAGCTTCTTTAGTGCCCATCAGTCTTCTCGGAGGAAATGGGGTGGGACCAGCAGCTGGCCTATCTCTCTGTTATAAAAAGCTTTTTAACAAAACATTTTAAATGCCATATTCTCTAGATCTCTGAGCATTTGAGGGCTGTGTTTAGTATCTCAGCAGTTAAAAGTTTGCCTTTAGTTAGAGAAAAATTCCTTTTTGTAATAAAAGCTGTACCTTTGTAAACGGCTTATAGGATAGACTGAGTGGCATAAATATTTTGTTAATTTGAAATAATCTTTATGATTTTAAATTTTTATCATTATTTAAAGATATATGAGTTAAATTTAAGTTGTATAGACTTAGCTTATATTTTAAGCATAGTTAAATTAGACCTTTATGACTTTAAATGTTTACTATCATTTAAAGATACATAGCAATTTAGAAACATGAGACTTAACAGTTAAATTTAAGTTGTATATAGAGCTAGATAAGTATAAAATTAAATTACAGGTACAAAGACAAGCAGGACTGGATAACAGTAAAGGGGGAACCAGAATGTAAGCACTGCACCGTACATTGTAGCAAATGGACAGGAGATTAAAGGGGAGAGAGTAGATTAAAAAAGAGGGCCCGGAAAAGGCATAGTATTTAGAAAAAAAGCCATGAACAACAGAGCCAGTGAAAGAAAAAAAAGACAAAAAATAAAAAGCAAAAAGATCTGGCAGAAATCAAAAATCTGATAGAAAGGTTCAGGCATTATGCTGGCCTGCCCCTGTTACCTGGTGGAACAGGCAGTACCCTGGTCAGCCCAAGGTTCCATGGAAACTAAGTCTGCACGCAGGTGCAGAGGACCCCTTTAAAAGACAAGTCCCTGCCCCTTTACACTCTCTGTTCCCTCTCTCTGTTTCCCTGCTCTGTTTCCTCTCAGCTTCCTTTCTACTCTCTCTCACCTATGTGCTCTCTCTACGGTTATATATATATATATATATATATATATATATATATATATATATATATATATATATATATATATATATATATATATATATATATATATATATATATATATATATATATATTTGGAAATGGGCTCCCCTGGATTCCCAGGCTGTCCTTGAGCTCACTATGTAGGCAAGAATGACCTTGGGCTTCTTGAAGTCTTCCTACTTCATTTCCCAAGTGTTGCAATTACAGTTGTGTACCACCATGCCCTCTTTATGAGCTAGTTTTTTTTTTATTTGTTGTTTGTTTGTTTTTTATGACAGTGGCTGTGTAGCCCAGACTGGCCTGAAACTCGTGATCCTCTTGACTCAGCCTCCACAGTTCTGGGTTCTGTGCTAACACACACGGATCCTTCCAAACTCCTTTCTTTCTTTCTTTCTTTCTTTCTTTCTTTCTTTCTTTTTTCTTTTTCTTTTTTTTCCCCTTTGGTTTTTCATACAGGGTCTCTGTGGCTTTAGAGGTTGTGCTGGAACTAGCTCTTGTAGACCACGCTGGTCTCGAAATCACAGAGATCCTCTGCCTCTGCCTCCCGAGTGCTGGGATTAAAGGCGTGCACCACCACCGCCTGGCCTCACTTATTTCTGTAATCGTTTTACTTTATATTCTAAGTTATAACAATTCTTTGTGACTTATTGCGAAGGATTCCAGCTTTGTTCCTCGGTTGCTGTTTCAGTTTTGACATCTTCATTTTCTAGTTTCCGAGCACGCTGTTCTCAATTCTGGCTCAAAGCAGGCTCTGCTCGCCCTTGGTTTACCCCAGTTAGGCAGTCATACAACTTCTCCGGGAAGCTGAGTTTGGAGGCCAAGTTCAGAAAACTTAGAACCGCCTTTGAGGTGATAGATAACTAAGCCCCAGTTAGGAGGAACTGCTCAGACTCGGCGCCGGCCGGCCCTGCACCCAGGCAGGCACCTGCCTCCCGCGCATGCGCGCCGGGCGGTGACGCAGGACCTGGACTTGCGCGTTCAGCAAAGAGCAGAAGAAGCCGGCGACCTTGCACTCCCAGCCTGATTCTTGCCTAGCGGACCGAACATTCGCAGGTGACTGTGCCCGCGGTGCCCCACTGCGCCCGCGTGCGACCCCTTCCCGGGACCTCCCCTGCCGGAGTACCCCATCCGGCCCTGCTCCACGTCCCCCCGGGGTGGGGGGTAACCACCTTCGCCAACACTCCCTCTCCAAGCCCGGCTCTTGGGCACTCCAACCTTGCTGGCCGCGCCCACTTCCTCAGCCTCACGTCCTCTCTTCGGTGACCCCTCTCAGCCACTGTTGCTTCTCCCTTCCCCAAAGTCCCCCCGCCACCACCCCTTCTCGCTCTCTTCCCTTTCTCGAATGTCTCCATTCTGACCCACGCCCCTCCCTCTTCTCTGATGTCGCCCTTCCTGATTGTATCCCGCCCCCACCAGCTCCTGCCTCTCGGGAGTCCCTTATCCTGATTGTATTGCCTCAGCCTCTGCACTACTTGTATTCCCTCCACCTCCTGTCTCCTTCCCTGTCCCCAGTGTCCCCCACGCTGGTTGTATTCCCCTTCGAGGTCTCTGTCTCTTCCCCCTACCCTGTTCATTGTCTCCATCCTGATCTGTCTTCCCTGCGTAGTCTTTCTTAATGCTCTGTCTAGCCTAGCGCCCCCCCCCCTTTCCCTGGGTCCCCGCGGGTTTCCCCAGTGTTCCCCACCATAATCTTTTCCCTCCCTTCCCTACTTCTGGCCCATTCTGGTGCCCCTCCCCTTCTCCTAGAGCCCTTTCCGGGCTCCCCAAAGGCCCACATCCTGGTTATATCCTCCCCAACCCAGAGCATCCTTCCCCGTGTCCCCTATCCTGATGGTATCTTCCGTAGAGCCGCTTAGTCCTGACCCCCCCTTCTCCACCCATGGCGGGTGAGGAGGTGGTGGGGGCGCACTGCTGAGGATGGGACGTCTCAGGCCCCGCAAGGGACCGCTACTGCCTCACTGAGACCCTCGGGTTACTTGTCGCCTGCCATTGCCTGGCTCTGGTGGGCCCTCCTGTTCTACTGCACTTCCATGGTCGGCAGTCTTACCCTGTCTTTAGTTCAAGCGTAACTCCTTTTTATTACATTTAATTGTTACGCAGCTAGACTGAGACCTTGGGAGGTCAGGGATTTTATTTGGGATAAGCAGAAATTGTTTGTTGTATCTTAACTTTCAGATGCATAGTGGTTTACAAAGAGACCTCATGAAGGAGTGGAGTAATTCCCAGTGTTTTAGAGTAGGTGGAAAGGTTACAGATTCTAGAGACTGCATGTCTAATTCAGAACACACTGATTAATCCCTCCAAAGAAGCCTACCTCCCTCTCCCTCCCTCCCTCCCCCTCCCTTCCTCCCTCCCTCCCCCCTCTCTGTGGTGTGTGTTGTGTGTGTGTGTGTGTGTGTGTGTGTGTGTGTGTGTGTGGTTTACTAGGATAGAAAGACTGGTCTCTTGTGGTCTTTGAGGCAACCAGTGCAGGAAGTGACTTGTCCCACTTTACAGGAAACAGTGAGGTGGCAGCTGGGATTTACTGCCTGTTGACTTAGGGTGATGTGTGTTTGCTGAAGGAGTCATTGAGCAAACATGGCTGTGTGTCTGCCAGCCTGTGCTGTGGTTTTGCCTTCTAGAGTGGAGAAGGGCATGTAGCTGGGAGTACTGTTGCTGCTGGCTCCTTCCTTAGGGTGCTTGGAGTGTTTCCTGGGCCCAGGAAGCTTTGCCTCTGTGTGGTCAGCAGGATTTGGTTAGGACAGATGGCCCCAGAAGAGACCCTCTAGCCAGGCAGGTGCTTGTCCTGGTTTCTCTAGTGTCTGTGATGTTTATTTTGTGTATGAGAGATTTCCCACTGTTCTTCCTCAGGGCAGGAATCAAAGGTGTTTTTCTGTCAGACACACAGTAGATGTTCAGTAAGTAAGGATGTTAGCATATCTTTGTAAGTAAATTCCCTGATAATAAAGACTGAATTTATGAAACTGGTGGCTCCTCTCACTATGTCTGTCTGCTATCTATCTCTTATCTATCTCTGGAAACTGTACCTTTAGGTTGTAGGTTTGCAGAGAGCCAGTGATCTGAGAGGGAGGCCGTGTTCATACCGTTGAACAGGCTCTAATAAGTCAGCTGCAGTTGACAGGTGGTACAGCAAGGGGGAAACGGAGGCAGTCTGACATTGCACAGTCTGCTATTCCTACTCAGTCTTGGCCTGCTGGTCAGGAGATCAGCCTAGACCCTGAAGTTCATGATGTCTATGCATTCCTCCTGATTGTCTGTCTGCTCTTCTCCGTTACAGTCTCTGTTAACTGGGTTTGGACATTCTTAAAATATCAAGTCCTGTGTTCCTCCCGGTGCCTCCTGGGCCAGAGGTTAACTCAGAATAGCAGACCATGAACAGGGGTGTGTGCAGATTCCTTTCTACAATACATCTTACCAACTTGTCCCTAAAATATAGAGGATAAAAGTGCTCTATCTGCCCTTCCTGTTCCTCGCCATTCCCTATTGTTAGTAATAAGTGGTATCTGTGAGTACTGTATCATAAGGACGGCGGCATCCTGCTGCCACGCGTTTAGTTTAGTTTAGTTCCTGTAAGGAAATTCCTAGCATAACCATACCATTTGCAACCAAAAGAAGTTAGACAGATGAGATGGGTAAAGAAAAACCAGTGAAGTTTCCCTGAGGCCTGCAGGGCTCAGGAGCCAGGAGGCCAGAAGACTGGATCAGAGCTGAAGAAACTCCCTGAGGAGTTTGTTTTTATCCGAGAGTTAGTGTTATGAACTGTCTTTACCTTTTGTTGAAATCTGAAGTTTTTTGTTTGTTTTATTTTTGTTGTTTTAAGCACACCCTATAAAAACAGCACATTGTTTGGCAGTTTGTTGCATCCTCTCTCCTGTCAGAGTGGCTGCTCAGAAATGTGTTCCTGTAGCACTCGCTAGAGATGGAGTGAGTGGGTGGATGGGAAGTAGGTTCTCCTTGACTCCAGAGAACTTGACTGTGCTTTAGCTCGTATTTTATATGTGACTTCTTTCTTTTTTTTTTTTCCAGCCTTTCTTCTGTATTAGTGGATGACAGACAACTTAAAAGAATTACTTGATCAGTGTCAGCAACTACCCAAAACTTACACAGTACAAGCTGAGAGAGGAAAGATGTAATTAGATGGGTATTTCTTGTCCAAACCAGGACCATCTGCTCAGGGGTAGCCACACCCACAGTGGTCTGGGCCCTCCCACATCAATTTTTAATAAAAAAAAAATGCCCTACTGACTTGCCTATAGGCAATATGATTGAGGGTTTTTCTCAATTGAGGCTCCTCTTTTCAGGTAACTCCAGTTTGTGTCAAGTTGGCAAAACCAAAACAGCACATACTCCAAAACAACAAAACCAACCTACTTGTAGTTTACTTTCTTTTCTTTCTTTCTTTTTTTTGGTTTTTTGAGACAGGGTTTCTCTGTGTAGCTTTTGGAGCCTATCCTGGCACTCGAACTCAGTGAGTTCCGCCTGCCTCTGCCTCCCGAGTGCTGGGATTAAAGGCATGCGCCACCAACGCCTGGCTTGTAGTTTACTTTCTAATAATTCTCATTGCCTTCAAACTGGAGGGGGGAACTTTAGTGACTGTATTATAGCAACTGAAAGTCAGGAAGCATGATTATGATTATATGTTTTTAAAATTCATAAAGACTAGTGTGTCTAAGTATAGACTTTGGACCCAGAAGACCTGTATTCAAATCCTGTCTCAACTCATCACATTGGGCAGCTTACTTAGCTTTCTGAGCCTTGCTTTTTCATCTGTAAAGTGAAAATATGCCATCTACTTGGCAAGATTATGCAGAATATGGCTGAAATAATGTACAAGTTTTTGACTCGGTACCTGACAGAAAAACTCAACCCAAGGTAGCTATTTCTACAGCAAGTTAAAAGTACTGTGAGAGTCAATTTCAAACATACACAATGATTTTTAATTCTGACTGTCAACTTGACACGATCTGCATCACCTAGGAGACAGAGCTCTGAGCTGTCCTGTGAGGGAGTGTCTAGATTGTGTTAACTGAAGTGGAAAATCCACTCTAAATGTGGATGGCACCACCCAATGGGCAGAGGTCCTGGATGAGTCAAAAGAAACTGAGCTCAGCATCAGCATCTCTCTCTGCTTCCTGACAACAGATATAATGTGACTAGGTGCTGCATGTCACTGCCATGATGGACTCTATCCCTTCAGCCTCAACCTAAAACAAACCCTTTCCTCCTTAAATTGCTTTTGTCAGTCATTTTGTTACAGCAATGAGAAAAAATAATTAATATACCTACCTTGAGGATGGGGAGAGTACCTCCAGGATATATGACTGAATCAGTCTCTGAAGGAACAGAAATATTTCGATTTCTTTGCTTGGCATGCTGAGTTCCATATGGTCCATAGTTTATCACTCCGTGTCATTAGTATGTATTATATATGTCACTGTATGTCCTATTATAGGATCCAAACATAAGTTGAGACTCACCAGGAGCCCATAGTTAAGAGACTGTGGGACATAGAGAGAATTGATTTTTAGAAAGACTTTGAAGATTCTAAAAAACTTGCCCCCCCCCCCACCAAAAAAGAAGCCAGGCAGTGGTGGCTCATGCCTTTAATCCCAGAACTCTGGAGGGTGGGACAGGCCTATTACTGTGAGTTCAAGGCCAGTCTGGTCTACAGAGTAAGTTCCAGGACAGGCTCTAAAGTTACACCCAGAAACTGTCCTGAAAAACCAAAAAAGGAAAAAAAAAAAAGAAAATTTAGTACTTTTAATTGTTATTGTTGAATTTTTAGTGATGTAGGACTTTTAAGAATTGGAATGTTTTACATTGTGCTGTTATCATTAAATACGAGACTTTGGGGACAAACAAAAAAAGGGAAGGTTATTGTTTCATAGTGTTATATTCGAGTGTCAAGTTGACAAGGGGTAGTTGTTTTGGTTTGTTTTGGAAACATCACAAGTTACAGTTACTTGGGAAGAGGAACCACAATTGAGAAAATGCCATCAGATTGTCTGTACATAATCTGAAGGAAATTTTCTTGTTTAATGATTGATACGGAT